TGCGAGTCTGTCTGTGAGTCTGCGAGTCTGTCTGTGAGTCTATCTGTGAGTCTGCGAGTCTGTGGGTCTGTCTGCAAGTTTGTGAGTCTGCGAGTCTGTCTGTGAGTCTGCGAGTCTGTCTGTGAGTCTATCTGTGAGTCTGCGAGTCTGTGGGTCTGTCTGCAAGTTTGTGAGTCTGCGAGTCTGTCTGTGAGTCTGCGAGTCTGTCTGTGAGTCTATCTGTGAGTCTGCGAGTCTGTGGGTCTGTCTGCAAGTTTGTGAGTCTGCGAGTCTGTCTGTGAGTCTGCGAGTCTGTCTGTGAGTCTATCTGTGAGTCTGCGAGTCTGTGGGTCTGTCTGCAAGTTTGTGAGTCTGCGAGTCTGTCTGTGAGTCTGTGGGTCTGTCTCCGAGTCTGTGAGTCTGTGAGTCTCTCTGCGAGTTTGTGAGTCTGCGAGTCTGTGATTCTGTCTGCAAATCTGTGAGTCAGTCTGTGAGTCAGTCTGCGAGTCTGCAAGTCTACGAGTCTGTCTGCGAGTCTACGAGTCTGTAAGTCTGTGCGAGTCTGTCTGCAAGTCTACGAGTCTGTAAGTCTGTGCGAGTCTGTCTGCAAGTCTACGAGTCTGTAAGTCTGTGCGAGTCTGTCTGCAAGTCTACGAGTCTGTAAGTCTGTGCGAGTCTGTCTGCAAGTCTACGAGTCTGTAAGTCTGTGCGAGTCTGTCTGCAAGTCTCAAGTCGGTCTGTGAGTCTGTAAGTCTGTTTGTGAGTCTGAGTCTGCGAGTCTGTCTGCAAGTCTGTGAGTCTGTCTGCGAGTCTGTAAGTCTGTTTGTGAGTCTGAGTCTGCGAGTCTGTCTGCAAGTCTGTGAGTCTGTCTGCGAGTCTGTAAGTCTGTTTGTGAGTCTGAGTCTGTGAGTCTGAGTCTGCAAGTCTGTCTGCGAGTCTGTGAGTCTGAGGTTCACGTGTTCAGATTTAACACCATGTTTACGTGCTGCAGGATCCGTCAGGCGGTGCGTGGATGGAGGCCGTGAGTCCTGATGGATACATGTACTACTTCAACACTGAGACGTGCGGTGAGAAAACATACAAACATCTGAACACATTCAGCTTCAAATCATCAATCTGATCCTCAGGATCTTTTGAGGAGCGTTTGTTTCCAGAAGCTTTACTTTCACTGTTCCTCAGCGGAGGAATGATCTTCACAAGCCTCCAGAACATCTCACATCTTCTGAGGAGCCTTTATTTCTTCAGCTCTCAATCACTGCATTATATGTTTGGAGCATTTCAATCTCATCTCACTGAGACAGATTACTGCAGATATAGAGTGACCACTGATATTTAGATCATTTAATATTAGTATCTGCTGTACTGTTATAAAGATCTCATTGATTTACATTACAAGCAGCAGAATTTCGTCATATAATAAATATCAACATCTGCAGCTTCTGTTTTTTCCTCCATATTCTCACTGTATCAGACTATATGAGCCATGATGGATCAAGTATAATACAAAACAAAAAAATCATATAAATGTTCAATATTCTCTTCTATTTCAAAACATTAGATTTTCCTGACTGTTATTTCATGTGTCAGGCTTTTCTTTCTAAACCTGTTTGTCTCATCCTGAGCAGAATCCAGTTGGGAGAAACCGGATGATTTCAGTGCAGAGGAAGTTGCTCCTCCTGGTGTTGATTCTCCTCGTGAGGAGGCGCGAGCAGCAGACGATCCGTCTCCTCCTCAGCCCGAGTCTGTGTCTGGAGCTGAAGACACATCCGACCCTCCTAAAGACACTCCAGAACCAGACGAAACCAAACAAACCAGCGCCCTGAAGATCAGTTTCAGGGTGAGACGCTGCCGAGCACATTCACACTCGCTGTATGACATAAACACTCGCTGTACAACATCATAAACACACAGAACGACACGTCCGTGTGTTTGATCTCCACACAGAAGAGAAAAGAAGAGCCGCTCCAGACATCAGCGGACGACGGAGGAGAGAGAAGCTCAGATGATGGAGGAAACGGTGAGGAGAAACGGGAAGATTCGGCCGTGACTGATGCAGTGAAGGAGGTCGAGACGCCTGTGAAGAGACCCAGAAAGACCAATCCATACGGAGCCTGGGAACGAATCCAGCCACAGGAGGATCCATAGTAAGACACACGTGATCTTATGATTTATCCATAAACTCCTCTGACGCTGCTCAGCTCACCGCAGTGTGTTTGTGACATCAAATACGGAAGAGAAACCAGATTATTGACAACAAACCTGTTGAGTTTTTCTAAAGGTATTCATGGTAATATTCAGTGTTGGGGGTAACGCATTACAAGTAACGCGAGTTACCTAATCAGATTACTTTTTAAGTAACTAGTAAAGTAACGCATTACTTTTTAATTTAGAAGGAAATATCGGAGTTACTTTTTGAAATGAGTAACAGCAGTTACTTTGTTTCCATGTGTTGAGTGACAGCTCTGGTGTTGCCATGGTGACAGAAATCAGGAGTAAGTGCAGAGCGTTGTGTGTGAACATGATCTTACTGTAGTTCTAGACTAAATATCAACATGTGTTTACTCATCTCACTGCACACAAACACATTCAGTGTTCCTCACAATCAATAAAAACAGTCAAATACAAACTCAGAATATTATACAATCCTGCAATAATTAAATGCATTAAAAAACAAATACGATTTATGTATTTAATCCCATTTTATTAACCAGTGTCTTTGCTACTGATCTTCGATGATTCACTTCAATCATACTAATAAGCAGAAATGACACATTAGTGTTTAATTTGAGTTGCTGCTGAATAGAGTTGAACTTTCTTCTGCTGTGATTAGTTTGAGCTGCGCCCTCTACTGTACAGACGAGAATTTACATTTCCTTCAGCCTGAGCCGCATTCATTTCACTTTTGGTGTGAAAGCGCTTTTACGTTTATAAACAAAGAACTTTTTATATTAAAAACAAACAAGC